ACTTTTATGATAAGCCATGTACAAGTGATAAAGAGGGAGAATAGAAAAAGTTGTCTCCATCTTCTCATCCGTAAGGGGGGCAGGGGGCTGTCTAATGCAAGGAGGTGCTATTGTTGGCTGTTTGTTTTTAGTCCATCTGGTCCAGTTCCATGATGCACCCTGGACCCTCAGCTCTGGAGCAGCTGTTAATGCAGCAGAAGCAGAAGCAGCAACGTGGACAAGGCACCATGAACCCGCCGCATTGAGACCAAGGTGGCAACCCTTGCAAACGAAGGCTCCATAAACCATGGCATGTTGGGTTTGCAGGACTGGCCCACACAGTCCTGTGCAGGTGGCAGCCCTCTCTTCTGGTCCTTGCTGTCAGGAGGGCGTAAGTGCTCCACCAACCCACTGAGTGTGCACAAAACGTCTGCAGTGCAAGAAAACAACATCAGGGACTCTCCCATCCCTGGGCCCTCTGGAGGGAGAGAGGAACTGCTGTTTGTCTCACTCAGTAACCCGATATCACCGCCTCTCACCTTCTCCATTGTGCATGTCCCCGGCCACATGGGAAGTAAAAGCTGAGAATGAAGGGCAGACGGGAGAAGCCAATGAGAACTTCTCAATCCTTTTCCTCTCTTTGGGGAGATAAAATACGAATCCATTAATGATTGCTTCGCTGACTGAGAATGTAGTTGAAATTACTCCTAAACATCTTTATTACTGTCTCAGTAGTAAGATCACACTGAATTCTTCCGTACACAGACGTGCTTCATAGTCAGTGTGTAGCAATGAAAGCCCCAATTGCTGCTCTGGTCAGAGATGGTTGGTGGCACCGGGGAGCTCTATCTCCTGGGCTAGCAAAGGAGTTTCATGAAGGAGAGTCTGGCACTTGACACCACTTTACCTTTCACCTAAAGGCTTTGGCCAGCCCATGGGTGGATTAGAAACTCCAGCATGAAATGCCCTCTTCTCAGTAGGTGTTTGAGCTATAATTGGTGATGTGGGGCATTGCAGCACTCTGCTGGACAAGCAAGTTAACTACTATGGGGTTTTGAATTAATGTTTGATTCCTGTACATTTTACTGTAGCATAGTGGCTAGCCCCACAAAGGGCAGGCTAGTCTGTGCATTCACAGCCTGACTCATTTTAATAGGTAGGTAGAAAGCTTTCAATGGTTTTTGTTTTGTTTTTTTTCTTTCTCTCTCCATCCTCCCACCTTTGCTGGATGCTAGTAGTTTCATTACCAACATGCAACATCTTGCAGAAAATAATCAGGGGTCCAGCAGGGCTGGGTAAAGCTGCCAGTCAGACTGGACAGTGCAGAGTGTATGCACCCTGCAGGCACACATCAGCTCTGCAGAAACCCGTCCCCACCCCGCACCTCCCACCCCCAGCTGCAGCCCCAAACTTCCAGAATGAGATTCAAGGCACCCGTGGACATACACGAGTGACCTGCACACAGAAGAAAGTGTAGTGCTGTTCATAGACGAAAAGGTGCAGAAGGGGAAGGGAAATGTTTTATTTGCTATTTATTAGAGGGAAGGAAGACTACAAGCTTTGGTAAAGAAAAGGACAGCATTTTTGTTAGGTTTCCCAGGGAAGTTATGGAAACAATCTCAATGTCCATTTGCTGTGTTTAGCAGTAGGGATTTGTATGATGATTCAGGATCTCTCAGCTGGGAGTCAGCTGCAGAGCAAAGCACATGCAGGAGCCGAAGTGACACTGGAGTCTGGGCAGCCAGAAAGAATAAAAAAAGGGAAGATGAAGGAGACACGATACTCCTGCAGGGGTATGGGCAGCTCCAGCACGACCTCCACCTTAGCAACATCACTGTTCTTTGTTGCATTTTGAAGCTGTGTTTCCTTTAAAAAGTCTAAAAGTTTCCACCCAGTGGTAATGTGAACCAAACCCCTCTACTTCCCTCCAGCCCTTCCAGTTTGTGTGTTGAGCTGTGCACCCAAGCAGCTGCGACATTCCGGTGTTTGAACTGTCACTGACTCTTGCACCCTAGACAAGCTAACCAGGTTCACCATCTCACTCCAGCAGTGCCAGGGTCCCAGCCACACTGTTCCACTTGTGCATGAGCACCCGGCCTTGGGAATGCATCCGGCTCTTGGCTGGGACACCCCTCCTGCCCTCCAGTGCTTGGAGGAGTGAGGGAAAGGGGCCCCTAACAGAAACTGGTTTGTGTCGTAAGCTTTTTTTGTGGGTTTTTTTTTTTTTTGTCTGTCTGTGCAAGAACTGCAGCTGCTGAAATCAGCTTTGCCTTTAATTAAACCATGTTCTCTCCATGCAGGTCTGTGTGTAGCGTTTATTTCCTGTGTAACTTGGCTGCAGGCTTTTAAAAATGCCACTTTTTCTAGTAAAGTCAAGAAAAGGTTTGAAATTCCAGTGGGAGGTGGAGCACACATCCTCCTGCCGTTGATCTGCCTGCAGATCAGGGTGTTGGCTGTTCGCAGCCAGTTTTTGAACAGCATACTTCCAAATGTGTCAAAACTACAGTGATAACGTGGTTTTGAAATGACAAGCATTCATTGTAACCAGGCAACTCTTCAGAATAAGTTCCTTTCAAAATAGCTGTGATATTTAGGGTATTGGGACAGTGGGGTTGTCCAGAACTTGCGTGATAGGGTTCCAAGTGGACAAACTGCTGCCCTTGGCACCTTCAAAGCAAGGCACTCCCACAGCTGTGGGTGGCTGGTTCATCTACAGCTTGTGTGTTTTGAGGTACATCATTTTAAAATGCCAGAAAGAGCAGCTATCAGCAAGAAGGACCAGAAATACTGTGAAAGTAGTGCCATGGGCAGAGAAGGGTAAACCGCTTGAACAGGGAAGAGGGCATCAACGCTGTGTACGCTTTTATAAAGGGGGCAACTTTGCTGCTGAATGACCTGCTGAGATTCCAGGCAATGTCTTTCTGAGTTACTGTCTCTTCTGACTGCTGCAACAATGCTTTGAGATACAGCTCCCAAAGGTTTAAAAAAAAAAGAAAAAGCATATACTTTTATTGGTGGGGGGTTTTAGTCACCATGGTTTTGAAGTGAATCATCAGCTGAAGCAGGGTGAATCTGCGTGGTGTCTCTTAAGCTCCTGGGGTTGGCACTGATGTTTTAAGGAAGCAAACACTGTTCAGCCTTTCCTGGTCTGTAGCTTCTTGAACACCAGTTCTGCTTCTGGATCTCTTGGCAGGGCTGTGAATGCAAGAGTCACCACCCTCATGGGTTTTCCCAGCCGCTGGCATGTCTGTATAAAAGCTTTGTTAAGAACAGGGCAGATGGGACAGAGGAAGTCTCTTGGCAAGCACAGGTTTTATGACCGACTGCATTCCTAACAGAAGGACAGTGAGCAGCTTTTTAGTAAATACCTGTTTTAGAGAACAATGCAAAATGTAAAATAAAAAAAATAAAGCTTTTAATACAAGTAGCACTAATATTTAAAGTTCGTTTTCAGGTGCAGTGTTTAATACAGAAAATCCTTAATTGCAGTGGTTGAATTCTTAATTTCTTTCCACATCCACAACTTTAAGCTCTGTGAAATCACATCTCCAGGTCTTTGCTGTTAGACTTTTGAACAAAAGCGGATGGGAAGATGCCTATCTTCCCATTGCACTGGCCTTCTAACCAGTCTTCATTCACTGAAAGATAGAACCAACATTATTTTTGTCACCATATGGATATATAGGAGCACAATAACCTCCCTGTGCTATAGACAGCTCCTAGATCACCTTTTTAAGGTTTTCTGCTAAAGCCTGGTGCAGAGAGGAATGTGGATGAAAGGGGCTGGGGAAGAATGAGGTAGAGAGCAAGCCTACAAGGTATGAAAGAATGCAGGTAGGAAAAGCAGAACAAGATAGAGACGTGAGGGGCTTAGAAATTGCCTTGACTAGGAAACAGTGGAAACAAAATGAGTATGGAGAGCAAGGAAGCGATCTGAGACCTCGGGCTGTTGTCTTCAAGGTGCCAACTAAACTGCATTTTCACCTGCTGTTCTGTTTGCGTGAAGAAAAAAACCAGAACAAACCCTCAGAGCCTCTGCTACCCTGGGTTGAGTAAAGCTGAGGAGCTCTGAAAGCTCTTGCTGTGGGGGAACCAAAAGAGGTAAGAACGAACTTTTTAGTGGGAAATATTTAGTCCAGCACTGGCAGTAGAGTTTTGGAGTGGGAGAAGTCATCAATGTATGGTGCAAAACCTTACCTGTACAGTGGTAGAGGTGGACTACGATCACTTGTCAACCAGCCAAATCAATTGTAAGAGCTACTTCCAGCAAAATAACATTTTATTTATTTATTTATTTTTGGTTTTGCCTTTAAAACTTTCTGATGCCTTGATTTCATGCAGAACAGAGAAACAGATGCACTGGGCAGGGTCTCTCTGTAATTCTTCACCTGATACAGGTTCATTGGCAATTTTTATTAAAGCACAGTAGTAACTTTTTCCTCCATCCTACGCATTCTGCGCAGTTTGAAGGGATCTAACTCAAAAACATGTACTAGGCTACTTACTCTGTATTTAAGTCTCTGTTCTCATTAAAAGCACCGAAGACTAATACTGAAGGGGACTGAGCCTAATGGAAGACTGCCTAAAACCAAAACCAGGCAGAAAAAGGTGCCAGGTAAGACAGATGGGAGGAAGAGCATTCTGCCGTTGTGCGAGCAGTAGACAAAATAAGGTATCTCCTTTAAAAACAAACTGTGATCAGTAAGCTTAAACACAGCTCAAGTGAAACCCTCATCTGGAAAGTGTTTGGGGAAGAGGGTGGCAGAAATGGATGTGATGAAAATGTGTTGTCAGAGGTGTGTATAAAACACTTGAGTGGGAAGCCCATGGTAGAGCTGAAGGAGCTCTGCTGCAGCTACAGCATGAGGCAGCTGCTGTGGAAGAAAGCACTTGTAGAAAGCAATCTTGCAGGCTTTAGGTCCTGCCTTTTTTTTTACTGCTTTTTGTCCATGGGGATGGAGCAAATTTGCCCTGTGAATGGAAAGTGGAAGCTCGGTGACACAGCTCTTAGTAATGTGAAGGAAGGTAACTCTTGGTATGTATCCTTAGGCTGTCCTTACCCCTGGCTTCCGCCTGCCACCTCATGTGATCTCTGCTAGTCTCTTTTCTCATGTCTTGTAAAGTGTTTGAGTTCAACACAAGCTCTCTCAGAGTGCCCTGCAGCAGAAATCTGAGCAGCCTGTTTTCCATCTAAACATGGTAAACTGCAACTTGCAGAAGTTTGCTATCGGTGAAGGCTACCTGAGCTACAGGCTGCTGCTCTGCAGGTTTCCAGCATGAAACAGGTTGCGTTAGAGGACAGGGAGATTTGGGGGAAGAGATCAAAGTCCCTAGTGAAGCTCATAAGCTCCACTGAAGAATGTGCGTCCGCTGGCTGACCAAATACCTGAGAGTTTTTGGCCTGACTGGCAGATGTTGGAAACTCACGACTTCCACAGGACTGAGCAGCAGCTGCTGCAGGCGCTTGGTGTCTCAGGCTCAGACCCATGCTCTTACCAGAGCTGGAAGCTCCCTCGCCTGTTGCAGAAGGAGCATAATTACCTTTGGATAGAACAAGTATCACATCTCCTGCCTGAAACTCCAGGTCTTCAGGTTGGGTGGCTTCATAATTGTACTGTGCTACAACTTGGGTTGGTCCTGTCTCCTCCAGTGTTGCCTCCTGTGGCAGCTCCTCTGGTTTGCTGTCTGGTAAAACCCCCTCTCCCTAGGGCAGGAAATAAGCTGGTAAGGACACCTCTTAGATCCTCCTTTTTGTTTGTACCAGGATAAGAGACAAGCTCTGTTTCTCTTCACCTGCTCTTTGCTCATCTGCCTTTAAACAGGTTGCTGGCTTGCTTTGAAAGCCACAAGCCTGCACTCACAACAAGGAAAGTAAAGGCAGTATCTGCTTGGGTTCCTTGCCCAGGAACAGGCAGAAGAGGTGGCTGCCACCACTAGCTGTCACTGACCTCCGTGATGTCGCACCAGACAGTCACACAGTTGTCCTTGCTCTGTCTCCAAGCTGCCTCCAGGTTCTCTGTGCTCAGATTCACCAGCGCTTGGCTTTCCACAGGCTTGTACCTGCATGTGCAGAGGACGCGAGGTAAGAGCGGGAGCCCTGAAAACACAACTTTAGCTCCCTGCAGCGGGCAGTGCCTCACCTCAGCTGTGTGTGCTCAGGCTGGAGCTCCAGTTTCTTGCAAACCAGATCCAGTAGCTCCATGTAGGAGAGGCCTGTCTCAACTTGCAAGGCAACTGTGTATTTGTAATGCACTTTGAGAATACAGGGGCTGGAGATGGCCGATTTCATCTCCTGCGGGTGGTAAACTGGATGTCAGAGCTTACGTGGCTTGGTGACGGTAGGGAGAGGGACTGGGATATAGAAACTCTGGGTGCCTGAGTCAAATCTGAGCTGTGGGGCATCAGCTGGCTGCTGGTCAGGGAGACATCTCTGCTAGAGTGTGTCACCTTTGGTACTTCTTTCAGGGCAGGTCAGTGGTTGTGCCACCTAAGCTATCCTGAGGTTGTCCCAGGAGAGAGCAGAGTCATAGATTAGTCACTTAGCAAACAAATGGTGACTTCTGGGTGACCAAATTTGAGGTGTGTCTACTGTCCAACCCCCTCATTCCCTTTTTTTTCTGAGTTGGGGTTGCTGTGTTTTCTCATGTCTCTCCTCACTGTGACTTTCTGATGCACTGACCCTGCACAGAAGTGTGTGCACTACAGCCAAGATCTCTTCATTTCCCCCTTCTGAAGTGCTACAGGTCAACTAAGATGGGAGTTGTACAGAGGTTCTGCTGACAGCTGCAGGTCCACTGCGGAGTGGACTGGAGAACTGCCAAAAAGCAGCCCTAGTCACCTGGTTGGGTCCTGATGACCTGCCGGCCCCTCAGCCTGTTACGTTTTGGAGAGGCCAATGAATGATGAAAACCTAGAACACTTCCAGGGCCAGGGCGCTTGCTGGGCATGCCAGCACCTTTCAACATGCAGTAAATGCAGAGTTGTAACACCAACACCGCCTTGGGGTCTGCGTTCACAAGATGTTACCTTTGCTGCAGCTCTTGGCTGTGTCACAGTAACAGGAGCGCTATCTGTGGAGGAAGAAAGAGATGGCTCAGGAAGTGGAATAGGGCAAGGATTACTGCTCAGTGCCTAAATATGCATTCAGATCTCCTGCAGCCCATCATTATCTGTAGCATCATCAACCAGCCCTGGAGCCACTGCGGGTCACTTGAGTGAATGCAGCATCAGCTGTGATGGGGTTCATCTGTAAGATTTAGATGTAATCACCAAGCAAAGGTTTAGTCTCTGCACTTTCCCTGTCACAGGGATGGGAGTTTTATGGGTCTTTCCTGTGCAGATTTTTAAAATAATGAATATGTGAGCTGTCTTTGCTCTTCTGATTTCCCTAGGTCCACACTGGAAACTGGAGACAATCCCCGTGCTTCACTGGGGTCGTAGAGCTCAATTCAGACCTCCAAGTACGGTGCTTTCATGTGGGTTTGTTTAAGTCTCTTCAAAAGGATCTATTCTATGTTTTGTCAGTGTTTTGACACAACTGTGCTTGTTATGGGAAGAGTCAGTGCTATGCAGTTGATTGGAGTCCCACTGCTAAATCTGCACTGGCTTTTGGTACTATAAAGATGCTCTTTGAGGTGGTTGTGTCCCTGAGCTGTTTGCTCTTAACTCGTATGAGCTGTAGTCATCTTCTGTATCAGCTTTACCACTAGACTGCTTTTAAGGTTGCTCTGCTTGGGAAGCAAACCCTGGCAGAAAACTGCAGCAGGTTAACACCCACATGGTATAGTCTCTGCACACTGATCTTTTTTACCCCAGATGGGTTTTCCCTGCAGTGGTGTGGAGCTCGCAGCTCAGCTGCAGGCTCCTACTGCAAACACTGCATGATGTTTTCTGAAGAGGGCAACTCTCAACACTTCCTCCCTGCTCTTCTTTTCAGCTCGTGTTCTCACAGGCTCACAACAGCAATTCTGGACCATGCACCTGAGCACTCCTGCAGCAGTGTGGATGCAGGCAACAGTGTGGATGCAGACAGCAGAGCCCTTTTCAGCTTCCCAGCACCCTGAGCCATCTGTGCTGGGGCTGATGTGGTGGTCCTGGTGCTACCATCCCTGCCCCAGGCCTGGGACATGGGACACTGGGTAGCACTAGCTAGAAATACCCTTCTCAGGGCAATCACCACAGTTCCTTCACACCTGGCCCAGTTCACAGCAGCACTAAAAGCATTGTAGGTGCTCTGCACTAAGGAGGAGCCTATAAGGAACCTTCTACTCCAAGCTTGAACAAGCTGGATTATGTGCCTCGTTCCTACCCCTAGGACCTTTCTCCCATTAGTTGCTGTGCTAATTTAAGAGCACTAAGGGACTTGCTTTCCTTGGGGATCCACCTGCTCTATTTTATTCCACCATCAGCACTGCAGTTGCTGTCTCTGCCTCCTGCTTTAATGTCCCCCCATCCTTGGCTGCAAACGGGTCTAGGAATGAAACAGAGATGAGCCCTAGCCCTGATCTCAAAGTGTGAGGACATGCAACCAAGGAAATCATCTCAAACCTGCTGCCAGGGGTTTTGCCCCTAAGGCATCCCTGTCCCCCTCACTGACCTGGTGCTGGCCGCCGTGGTTTCTCTGGAGCAGCAGAGCTGGGTGACTCCGGGATCTCTGCCTCAAGACGAATTTCTTCCTGTGCCAGATGGGAAGAAGGTAGTGCTGTCAATACCACCCTTCCTAAGGGAGCTGGGGAGCTACTGCCCTAGGGAGCCTGATCTCCAACCCACTATATTCCCAAAGTCTGTTTGGGGTCTTGAACCAGGGAGGGGTAAATTCGCTACCCCTTATCCCCCCCCGACATTGCCAACCACCCCCCGGGGGGGGCATTGTCACAGCATCTGCCTACATTTTGCAGGTCTCTGAACTCACGTGAAGGTGACCGTGAGCCAGAACAACCAAGCCCAGCATTATGAGGGGGAGGGATTTGCAGGTATAGCTCCTGCTGGAAGGCCCAGCATGGGTGGTGGGTGAATGTGTGGAGATCTGCCCTCCCAAGGACACAATCTCCTCCTGGGTCTCCTCACCTGGATATGCAGCTTGTTCTGGAGCTCCACAGGCTCAAGGTAGTTGCAGGGAACAATCCCTTTCTGCAGGGAAAGGAGAGATGAGTGGTGACTGCTTGGCAAGGAGGCATCCCACTGCTGCCAGACACAACTGAGCTTGTCCTCACGCTACCCTGAACACAGGAGAGTCCCTGAGGCTGGAAGGTTAGTTGATGCAGGTTAGATGGGTTTCAGCAAACCCTATGGCCTAAGCCAGGGCGGACATAATAAGGGACTTAAATTGGAAACTCATTTAGTTGCTCACAGGAAGGATTTGCCCTGCAAGTCCCACCCCGTGCTACCTTTCCATTGAACATCACTGTTGCCCAGTTGTCCTTCTCTTTCTTCAGGACAAAGACGATGTTTCCTGGCAGGACCTGCAGCTCCTCAGTGGTCTCAGGGATGAACTCATACAAAACACGGTGTGGCTGCCCTTCAAGGGCCCTGGGTGCAGGAACAGTGGATAGGTCAGGAATGTGGGTGACATTGTAGGGGGAACCCAGACCTCTGTATCCTTGTTCCTATCAACCCCTGTTCCCACTGAGTTCTGGGTTCTGGCTGGATGCTTGGCTGTGATGGTGCAGGATGGAGCTGGACATGGATGCATGGGTTAGCAGTGTTGTCCATCTTTCGTCCAACTTACCTGAGGATTTCTGGAGTCTTGGGCCTGGGTGGAGGACCAGAGGCCTGCCAACAAGAAGGCAAAAAGGAAATTATCAGTAATCTGGAGGATTTTGGTTGCTTTGCAGAAATATCCTACAGCTTCTACTATGCCTGTTATTACCCCTACATGGTTCCTTCCTCCCCATGCTGATGGCAGGTCAGATGATTTGAACCGAAATGGAGCTTTCTGCTGCTTTGCAGGGAGCTGAGGTAAGTTTTCGACTGTTTGCCACCCTGATACATAAAGTGCTGTGAGGATTATCACTGGCTTTGCTCCCCCTAAGGAGTAGTTTCCAAATTCTTCCACCTGCAGTTGGTCTTCAGAGGCACAGTCCTGTGTTCAGTCATGATTCTGGTTTCAGCTCACAGAGGGCTGAGACCAGGGATTTGAGACCAACTGGCATAAATGGTGCTTCTCTGTATCTTCCCATTACCGTGCTTGTAAAATTCCCTGCTGCCATCCTAGTGCTTTACTGTCTCTCCTGCCGTAGGAAGTTCTCTGGTGGATTTCATCAACCCTCTGAAGTTACTCTGAAGAAGTAACTTGAAATAGGCCTGACTCCCGTAGCGAGGTGTCAACACTTGACTGCACTGAGGGGTGTATTTTATATTGCCTAGCAGGTGCTGTGAGCTGCAGCAGCTCCATTTCCCCATAAAAGTCCTCTCAAAGGTCATGTAAAAAACTCTTGGGCACCTCTGGAGCTGGAAAGATGCTGCTAAAGCATCAGGATAATGACACAGAAAATGCAAGGGGCTTAGAGAATAGGGAGGAGGGTGGAGAATGAAAGCAGAACTGCTCTTGTTTCTCCACATCAGCTTAGACAGATGAACCCTAATGAATCTTATGAGCAGGGTCTGAGACAGCTCTGTGCTAAAAGCCATCACCCTGCAGCAGTGGTGGAGGCAGAGGATGTGCTGTTCCGCTGCTACTTCCCTGTTCAGGGAACCAGTTTAACCTCAACCACAGATGTAGGTGGCTTTGGCTGCACTTCCTGATGATGGAGGGAGCAGCTGAGATGTGGGGGCAGTATCCTCCTCCTCCCTGCGGCAGTAGCAGAAAGTTCATGGTAGTGATGCTGCTGTTTGCTCCCCACTATAGAGCAACTAGAGACCACAGTAGGGTGCAGGATGATACCCACCCCTATGTCCTCCTGAACTTTCACCAAGGATTCTTCTGTTCAGCGGTGGTGCCTTACCTGTGGTTGAAGTGGAGCAAATCCTGAAAAATCATCTTTGTCCACCACAGATGCCACCACCTAGAGCCAAAGGCGGACAGGTAATGATGTAATGCTTCCAGACCTCTCTTAAACCTGTGACGTCCATCCTCCTCCTTGACTGTTGGCCAAGTCAAGTTCTTCAGGATGCTTCAGGTTCAAGAGGGGCTGTGATTTAGGCTAAGGATCTTGGAGTAAGGCTGAGTACTTCTGGCACCAAAACTCACCTCTCAGCTATGATAAGTTCTTGGCTCTTAGCCTCACTGCTACTCCAGTTAAAGTCATAACCTAAAAGTTTCCCTTTATGTTTTCATCACAAATGTTGAAGGAAGCCAAAATGTCCAGCTCAAGCCCTTACTTTCTATAGGTGACTATAGGAAGTTCACAGATGTTTGTGTGCATGTTTCTGGGGTTCCTCTAATACCCAAGGAGCTGCTTGGCTCTCGGTTGCCCAGTTCACCAGTGCCTGCACAGCCAAAAGTTCCCTTTCTGGAGGAGCCCAGGACCTGAGCCCAAGGGTGATAACCTCGTGCTTTGACTTTACACAGTCATGGGAGAAAAGCTTGCTTACTTATGGGAGCTGAAAAGTGCCTTTCAAATTGAGCAGAAGAACTGGATGTCATTTCTGTCACATGTTACGTAGCTTCTTGGCTTGCTGACTGACTGTCCCTCATTTCTCGCTAAGGAGAGAAACTGAAAATAGGCCATGCTCTTCAGAAACATGCTATTTAGCTTCTCTGTCTTATTCTTCCCCTATTTCCCATGAGATCCCTACATGCCATTCCTCCCTCCATGCCTGGGGGGGATCCCTGAGGCATGGATCTCTGGCTGCCCTTGATGCAGCAGATAGCGGCTCAGAGGAGTGGTGAAGGGGTGGTCAGCAGTACTCCTCAGCCCTCAGGACTGACTCAACTAAGATATTTCTTTCTTACCATAGCCTTTCCCAGGTAGTCCTTCTTCTCCAGCTGGGCCACTTGCTTTTCATTTGGTCTAAACAGCTTCCCTGCAGGCATGGCCACCATCTCACAGATCTTCTGCTTCTGTAGCACAGAGAAATCACAGCTCTTCAGAGATGAGACCATGGACTGCTGAATGTCCCCTTCCTTCTATCTCTTGGACTAAGGTCTCCCTCCACTCCTGACATGGTTCATTTATCCTGATCTTCCTGTCCCTGCCTCCCCAGTGACCCAAAGCTCTTCCCACCAACTCGTGTCTCACTACAGCGCTCAAGCCTGCTGCATTTTTCTCCTGCTCTGCTAAAGCCATAGCTAAAAGGTGTGTTCTTTGGCATTTTTTCCCTTCCTCCCTGCAGGGCTGCTGTGAGCAAACACAGTGCCTGAGAGATCTGCTCCTCCTTACCAGGATGGCTTCCATTGCTCTGTCGATCTTGTTATGCTGGAGCTCACTCTTCATGCTCATGGCCCGCGTTAGGTGCTCCTCAGCTTTCTTCCAGTCCTCCATCGTGGCATACACCAGTGCAATGTTGTAAAGTATCTACCAAAGGGATGGGAGCAAGGAAATGAACTCTTAGAGCAGCCGGATGATTGCCAGGAGGGTGATAAAGGACAGGACAGCAGGGCAGTGGCAGAGGTGGTTGCTTGTGGGGCACAGAGAGAGGCTGGCTGTCTTCTCTTTAGATTTCTTGCACTGGTGAAGAGACCTCTGGAATCAAAACTGCCAGTCAAGTCTTTCTCACCTCACAAGCGAAGAGCCTGTACCGCAGCCCCAGGATCTTGTAGTCAATGAGCTGGTTGCCTCGCAGCTGGGCCAGTGCCTCTTTGAAATCCTCAATGGCCTTTTCATGACTGTGGAGCAGAGGACAAAGGTGTTACCACCTCGTGATGGCAATCTGCTCACCTTGAAGTCTCTATATATGCTTGTGTGAGTTAAGCTGGGTCTCTCCCATCTCCTTGCAGTGTTTTTGCATACTCCAAGGTGAGAAGAGATGCTCCAAGACTGGTGTTAACCCCAAGAGTGCACTGCTGATGGACAGGAACCTGTTTTACCTTGAGGGGTTGCAGTTTGGCCCCTGGCCTATCATCCTGCCTGGGGCTGTCCTCAGCTAAAAGCTGGCATCTCTGCAAGCAGCAAAACTGAAATATAAACCCTTCCACTCACTTTTGCTTCTGGTAAAACACTGTCCCCCGCTGGAAATAAGCCACTGCCAGGTGTTTGTCGCAGCCGATGCTCCGGGTGAATGCCTGCATGGAGGTTGGAATAGGGCATAAGGGAGGTAAAGGAACCTGAAGGTGTAGAGCAGTTATACCTGTCCTACTTCAGTCAAGTGGCCTAAGCTGAGCTCTGTGGCTGTCTCCTGCAGTGTACCAGGTTCCTAATTGTCGTGGTTTAACCCCACCCAGACAGCTTGTGCACTCACTCCCCCCCCTCTTCTTGCCCTCCCCCTACTCCTGGAGGGACGGAGAGGAGGATCAGAAAGAATGCAACTCCCATGGGTTGAGATAAGAACAGTTTAGTAACTAAGGTATAACACAAATCACTGCTGCTACCACCAATAATAGTAATGATAAAGGAAATAACAAGGGAAGAGAATACAACACCCACACTAATTTTTTAGCTGGAATCTGTCACATCCTGCTCAGCAGCTTAGTGCCTCTGTAGTCACCTCTCAGAGAGAAGGCAGGGCAAGCAGCAAGCCATGCACGTCTTCCACTGCTTCGCCTGGAAAATAGGCTCAGCAGGACCAGCCCAGGGGTGTCACCCTTCACCCCAGTTTTAAAGGCCCTGAATCCTTCCCTTAGTCTGACTGTGGCCCTTAATTCCTCCTTACCCACTGCATCCATCTGACTGTCGAGCCTGTGCAAACTCGCTGGTGCCTGTCAGTAGTCGCGACTGCTGTAGAAGGCTGTACCTTACCTCCTCTGCCTCAGCCAGCTCTCCCAGAACCAGACGGATGCAGCCAATGTTAAAGCAGATTTTGGCAGGGGGGTTCTGTACGGCTGTGAAGGCATCCAGGGCTGCCCTCCACTCCTTCCTATCCGCTGCACACACTCCTTCTTGCCACAGCCGGATTGTCTCCACCAAGGACATGGCGCGGTAGCGCAGGACGCGGCGCCCTCGGGTGCGTTGTGGATCCCGCCCCTCGCCTTGTCCTTCTGTGTGGTGATGCTCGGCCTCTCTCTCGCTCCCTTCTGCCTCTATTTCTGCCTTCCCCACCGCCTGTGTCGCAAACCTGACAGGAAGTGGCCTCCCTCACATCAGTGAAATGCAGCCTCGGGATGAGGAAGTGCGGCAAGAGGCAGCAGGCTTCCATGTTGCACTGCTGTGGGTTGCACCCCTGGTCCTCTCTGTCAGATAATCCATCCTCTCCTCATCAGGTTTTGCTTCTCCAGGTTTTTCATGGAAAGACATGGATTTGTCAGCTGGGTGGTTGATCAGGTCAAATTCAGGGCTGCAGAGCCACAGGGCAGGTACTGCAGCTGAGCCCCTTGTGCCCTCCAAAGTGTGGTGCTTGATGGAGGTAGTTGCTAAATGGCTCCTGCAGGCACAGCTGCCTGCAGCTGGCCTGGTGCTAGCCTGCCTGCTGGCCCAAGCAGGAAAGTGAAGTACAGCCCAAGGCACAGCCTGGGAGAGCATTTGTCCTGCCCATCTCCTGCTGCATTGCCCCAGTGAGGGGCTCTGCTGCTGGGGGTGTGTGGAGCTGCCCAAAGATGGGCTTTGAGGGGCAGTGACTGTGCCATGCTGAGCCCTGGCAGCAGCGGTAACTCACATTAACCCAACATCACTTCTGTTGAGGTGGGCTGCTGCCAGCAGGGGGTAACCTGGCATTGGATCACTGCGAGAAGGGCAGGGGGATACTGAGCATGTGGCAGCTGCAGAGGTAGTGGTGGCAGGGGTCTGACCTGCTGACTCAGTTTGGAGCTGGATGTTCCACACGTGGTTTCTAAGCAGTTTTGGAAGGACCTTGCCTCATCTACTAGCCGTGTGATGTGTATTTTCTAAGAGCTTAAAATACATCAGCAAGACTTGTCCTTGTGCGTTTACGGAAACTTCCCCATCAAGTTACAAAACGCTGGCAACGGGAGGGAGGCTGTGGAGTACGCTTGTTTGACATCTGCTTGGCGAGAAAGCCGGGCTGCTGAACAGCAAGGATTTTAACCAGAAGTAGGACCAAGCACATCTCTGAACCTGGAGCTCTCTTTGGTTTTCCAGTTGTAAGCATGCCCTTGGCATCCCTCTGTGCCCAGTTGACTCCCATGGGCTTCCTACAGGAGCATGGAGGAGACTCTTTGAACTACAGAAAAGCAGAGGGAAATGCCACCAGGTGAAGTGATGCTAAAGGAGAGAGGTGGGAATAGCAACATGGTGAAGATGAAAACACCTCCGAGATGAGATGCCTTTTCTCATTCCAGTGGGGAATGGGAGACCCCATCTGGCAGGAAATGGTTCAGCTTACTGTAGGGATAATTTTCTGCTCGTTTAATTACCTGAATTGGTGCACTGCAGGGTCAGGCTTACCCCAAAACCAGTACAAAGGGAGCTGGAGGAGGACACGAGATCACCCCAATGACAGTATCTGTTTGGGTTTTTTTTTCCCTTGTGTTTCACAGAAAGAGGGGATCTGAAAGGTGTAAGCACAGCAAATGCTCACAGCAGCTATCCTTTTGCTTGGTTATTTTTAATGTAACATTCAAGTCATTTCAAAGCTGTGATAAATGCACCCCTTCTACTAAGAGTGAGACTCTTCTTCCCCTTTCTCTTACCAAGTTGATTTAATAAGCAGACTTGTTTTTTTCTATGACAACGTCCAAGAGGAAATGAGTAATAGAGATGGTGACATCTCCTGTGGGAGATTCTTGCAATCCAGCACAAAAGCAGATCGCCAGAGACAGGTAAGAAATACATATAAATGCCCAAAATCCACCTGGCACAAAGGAGTTAGTTTTGAGTTTGTGTAGCAAAAATATGCTAAGCTTATCATAATCTATGGAGGGGAGACCCAGAAAGAGACTGGGCACCAGAAAACATTGTGTGTGAGGAAAGACCAAGGGGATTGACCTTGTTTGGGAGAAGATCTATGATGCAGGAGGAGTGGAGAAGACTGAGCACATCCAGGTCCTTCCCCGAAAGGCAGGTTTTTTTGGCTCACTCCCTAAACAGTGGCAGGGAGCAAGGCAGGAGCTCACAGGAACTCTTTGGCTAAGTAATGGATGATTCAAAGCCCAGGGCTTGGCAGTGGCTGCAGCTTCTCTCAGCTGTGACTGATGAGGTGGTGTTGTCACATGTTCTGGCCAAAGCTGAAGGCAGTGGTGGGAGGTTTACAAGCACTGAGCCTTCCTAGCAGGGCTCTGCAAATGCTGTCCCCTTCGACTGTGTCTGATCTGCATGTAGAGTATTTTTAATTGAAAGCTTCCTTCTTTTAACAGAAAGGGAAATGTGTTTTGCAAAGCCAAATTGCTTGGTGACTTTTATTCCCTGCCCATCTTTCTCTGTTTTCTTCTTACAAACCTGTTGTGCCATGTCACCCAAAGGATTAGAACACCCTTTCTGCCTGGGTACATACAAACAGCTGCTTGCCATAGCAAGAGGGAACAAGTGGGGTTTGGGGACAGGAGCTGAGGACAGCCTCCACCAGCCCCAACTGCTACAAGGCAGCCGCTAGCCAGGAGTGAGTCCCATAACTGAGCTCTTCTCCATCTTATGGGCTAGCCCCATACCTGCTCTTCACTGCTGGAAGTCTTGTTAATGCTGTGCCAGTGGATTTTGGGTGGGCCGGGAGCACTTGGTGCCCTTCACTATGTGTCTCCCAGGATACCAAGCTCAGGCTCTGCTTTGCCATGAGGGCAGCAGGAGCATGTACCTCCTCCTACAGAGCCAGGGCCTGGTGATTTGGTGCTGCTCTGGACTCACTCAGCTGGTGGTGGCTCCTGTGTAAGGTGAATGCAGAACCCAGACACAGGTTGCTGTTTGGCGCATCTGGGGCTTGCTCCATGCTGTGATATTTGTATGGTCCATGAATATGAACAAGGCAGGATGTGGGGGAAAAAGACAATGTGTTTCTTTTTTAAAGTAGATTTACGTTTTACTTTCCAGTTAATCAGATACCAGAAGAGATGCCTTCCTGAAAATCTTGCACTACTGCCCCCACCTCGTTGTGTGTCTTCTGGCATATCGCATTTGAACACAAATGCAGATGTGTATGTATTGTGTTTCTGAACACATCGCAGCCTAACCTGAGTGGAATGTGGAGAATCTCCAGATCGCTTTTGTCGTTGCCTTTGTATAATGCCACCTCAAGGTAGCTGACCTGCTTTAACATCATTTTGGAAAATATTTTTCACTTAATTTGGGATTCCAGTTTGGTTTGTTGGGTTTTTGGTTTTGTTTCTAAATTAGGACTAATTGGTGTCTTAAACAATTTGGATGAATGAAAGGAAACTGAGAAGCCAAACACAGTCCCTGGGAGAGCTGTGAAGACAGAACCTTCAGTGATGTGCCCAGGAGGGAGGCTTCTCTGCATGTGTGGTTGAAACCTCTCTGGTATTTTCAGCAAGGCCAGGTCTTCCACTCTGTGTGCCCAGTGTTGTTGTGCCTGTGTTCTTCTGAAGGAGTTAAGCAAGCAAAAGCATCCTAGGAAGAAAGGGAGGGCAGGCACCAGACAGTTTGAGGGTAACCACACCACTGGTTCCTGTCTGCATCAAGGCCCTGAGGACATGGGCTGCTCTGCCCCCGGGCTATCCCACGGGCACCCGGGGAACTGTTGAGACTAGCTGGCTAACAGGGCTGTGCTGCCCTGCTCAGGAAGGCACAGCTGCTCCAGCTTTGATGCCAGGCTGGCTGCCTGTCCTTGCCTGCAGCAACAGGTGGCAGGGCTGGGGAAGCTGAGGGAGGAGGTGGGATGGAAGTGAAAAAAGGTTTTTACTGATTCCTGAATGTGGTGCGACAGGAACACTTGGGCTTGAGCTGCCTGAAGGCATTAGCACCCCTTTTCCAAAGCAATGACTTGAGTAACAAATATGCAATGTCCTGATGTCGGAGTGCTCAATGCCAGGTTTCTGTATACACAGGCCCTCCACAAGTTCAAGCTGAGTACATATGCCATTAATGATGATGTAGGCACCCCACCCACAGAACAAGCCCAGGACTGTATCTGTGTTTAAATTACTGTGAAAACCAGTGCTTAATTGTTGAGTCTCTTGGAGCTTGGGCAGGCAGAGAGAAAAACAAAAGCCCAAATGTGAAGTCAGTTTTGCTCCAGACAACCACCCTGGTAGGCCATCACCCTTTTCCTTTTGAGAAAGCATCCAACATGAATGGCTGTGAGGAGCCTGCTCTCTGGCCACAATTTCAGTATAGGCAGAAACATCTCTAGTAGTCCTGTTCCACAACGTTTTTTGATGTTTAAATATCTCACTAAAATAATGTCATATTTTTTAGTTGGATGAAGCTGTGCGTGTATCACCATCACAAACAGGTATGGGTAACGGCTAAAAAGGAAGCCTACCAAGGGGAGAAGCCTAACAGAGGGGAGAAGTTTTAGGGCTTGCTTTTTTACTGTAGTACATCCTGGAATAACAGCCTGCTGAAACTTCAAGGCATTTCAGACACCATGTAAATATTCAGTGATGATTTATTTTCTGGTCCTCATTATTATTACAAAAAAAAAGCAAATATAAAAAACCAGCAAAGATTTGACAAGTTCCCCAACAGTTTTACATAACTGAACGGCAGTAAATTGGTGAATGTAAAACACAAGTATTTCAGCCCTGGGCCTAAACCTTTAACAGTGATCTGGGATGCCCTGGGCTTTCCTAATTCTTTTTAAAGTACTCTTCGAGAACCCGACTTACTTACTAGGTAACACACTGTGGCACAATGCAACAGGACTGTGAACTGTCACATCTCCTTTAAGATCCTATACACCTAGAAAACAAAATATGGGAGCTCTACAAAGATGGTGTGGGTACCAGCATGCATTTCTCAGATTACCCCAGGCAGCTACACTGTTGTGCTTGACAGAATCACTTTCAAGTTGCTGAAAGCATTTGCTATGTTAAAGCTGCTTCTTTTTAATTCTCTTCAGGATCTTTGCTCCCCAAAATAAAAAGAATTCACTGGGCCAGGCTCCAGTGTAAATGGACCATCAACCTTCAAAATTCTACCGCACTGCATGATGGACAACTTCAGCCCGTTGTGACTTTCCTGCTGCAGACCCAGCATCTGACTGATCACAAGGAACCTGAACAGGCCATGAATTGTGAGGTTGAGGAAAATACTCAGCTCTCTGGAATGATAACTGGGGTTGGAAAGGGGCTTTTGATTTCTGCCCTATTCATGGCTGTAGGTTCAGAGGTTGACTAAAGGAAACATGGTCCAGTTACCTATATTAATAGCTGCCCCACTTCTCAAATATAGATCTTACCTCAAACCACTGCTTGGCTAGCAAAAAGAATTAAGACATTGCCCTACGTTCCTCAGCACTTCCTCAGAAAGTCAGGTCCAAATCTGCCATAATTATATACAAATGCAAATCACCCTAAACATGACATTGTACATGTTACTGTGTCACTGAAATGTTTGTGAGTACCAAATATTCCTGTTAGAAATAAAATTGCACCTTCATCATTTTCCAGAACTTAACGAGAAAGGAGAACATGATATGCATTATTTGTCAGGTATGAAAGAAGCAGTGAGAAGGCAAGCTGAGAGACAGGTGCTGCCCCCAGGGCAGCAATGGCATTCGGTTGTTTGGGTTTTGTACCAGCACTTCCCACACTGTGTATGGCAGACAACCACTTGCTGCTGGATTTAAACCGTTTTCCTGGCTGTCAAAACGCGGACGATGGACCCTACTCCTCCAGCAGCCAGGGCCTGAAAAGACACACATGACAGTTAACACCAGGTCAAGGCAGCTACAGGCCAGATCAGAAAGGCTTCCCAATTGTGTTTTAAATTAGCATCTCCCCCACCTTTACATTAAGGGTGAAACACTAGCGCTCAGAGTGCCAAGGAAGAATAATCACAATCACTTTAAAGACAGCTATTATTTCCCTGCATAGCTAAGCTGCAAATCTGCTTCCCTCTAGGAAAGAAATCCTAGTTCCATCCGCCTGAATTACTGGATTGATCCATTTTGTTTACCTCAGTCTAACACAAAACCAAATTTTAATGGTAGTCTTTACCCAGGGCACCCTATCAGAAGTAGGCACATGACATAACTCACCTCTGAGCTCGCAGGATAATACCTTTGTCTCACCATGAAATATGGCATTGAGTTTTACCAGAAAAAAGGTGGTTCTCACCCGGCTTAGTGAGCGTGCCTCAGACCCAAGAACTTGCCACCACAGATAAACCAGGCAAGAGCACATGCTATACACGCACCTTCTCATGCCACTGCAGCAGCACAGCACTGCTGTTGTCAGAAGGGCTCTCAAAGCCTTTGTAGATGTACTTCATTAGCAGGTCAACGCCATTCTTGTCCAGTGACTGCACTGCCTTCTCAATATCGTTGGCTTTGAAAGAGATGAGGACCTTCAGGACAATACTTTCTGCGCGATCCTGTCAACAAATAAGGAAAGCACAGTTCCATTCGTTCTCATATAAGGTACATACAAACAGTACTCATCTCTCAAACGGAACCATTTTCTTTCTCTTTATCAGTTCTAAAATATGGTTTGATAGGGCAGTTTGTGAAGAGAGCTTATGATAATAACTGATAATGTCCTCCCAATGATAAACAGCATAAAAGTTTAATGTGTTTGTCCTATTCTAGGTTTTCTGCCTCTCTGCCTGTGTTTGTAATTCTCCACTTACTAAAATTATGGCTAAACAATAGATTTTCACATCAAAACTCAAGGTCTAGCAACTTCCAAAAGAATTGTAATAAATAAGTACTTGTCTTGGCCTTCCTTCCCACCACAGCCTTCTCTATGCCTTTGTACTGTTTAACATGGTACAACTATTATAATCCATGCAAATACCACTGGCCAGACTGAAAGAGCTGACTGCTGGAAGCCACGTGTTTTCAAAGCAGTCAACTTCTGTCTCAGGCACACTGGCAGCATTAATATTTTGCATTCATAGCCATTTGCAAGTTGATCTGGATGTAATTTCAGGCCCTGGAATGTGTGTGGCGTGCTTGCAAGCAGCAATTAGCCATGTAATCTGCAAAAAGCAGCTCTTCCTGTTCATCCATCACTAACTGATGGAGGCTAAAAGAAAAAGGTCTCAGGTTTGCTGGACTTTTGAGTAATTCCACAAATATTTCAAGCAGCTTCCTCCTACAGAAATTATAGACATCAGTTTTCTTGCCCAATGTAATATCCCATAGCTGCCTCGCTTAGCAAGACTTCTCACATCAAGAACTCCAAGTAAAAACAAAAGTTCCACAAGAGCAACTGAAAATGAAGACAGCCAATAAAATTCAGTCACTGCCTTTCACAGTGTGTTCTTAAATTCATCAATACAGAGCTAATGGAAATGGCTCTTCAATCTGTTATATAGCACTATCAGTAACAAAATAACTGGTTCTTAAAATCCTGTGAAACCCACCAGGACAGGACTGGGACTAGGTAAAATAATCTCCACTGCTGGCCTGGTGAGCAGCATGGAAATACTCCAGTGGGATTCTCCTTAAGGAGAGAGAACAGACATCTGCAGGCACTCACCACCTGGGCAGTTCCACATCTTATCTGCCTGTTCCTACTGCCACCGCAAGCATGAGCCATTCAAGGTTTATTCTGGGGAGGTTCAGAAATAGGTAACATGAAGCAGGCTCCTACGTTCTGTCACAGGGGGAGCGCTTGCGTTTATCTGAGGGTTTAACGGCTTAATTTTGATTGGATGTGGTAACCATCAGTTCTTCCTTTTTTGTAGGTTCACAGCCTGGCTGTGCTAGCACAGTTTCATTAGTCAGAGGTTGAGTACTGCAGTTATGGTTCCCCGATTGTTCAGTACCAACTGCCTCTATGTGCTGCCAGGTCTGGATCACACATGGGCACCTGGTGACGTGGAGTTAGCCAGGGCACACATACACAACCAACACAGGTAAGAGAACACACAAAACCTGATCTAGCACCAAGTTACAGGGATGTGGACAGATGACATCCAAACTATAGTATTCTGAACAAGACTGAAACACCAGAGCTCATGGCTGTTTTGGGGAATACCCTAAAACCAGCTTCCTTGGCTTCTCCTAAGGCAGAGGGGATAGAGGCAGAGTTTGGTAGAGTTGGTGGGATAGAGGCTACAGAAACAGGAAAGGCTTTTTAAGGAGTAACCCACCTTCACTGCCTGGTTCTTTGTGTTGATAGGAGGATTCTTCAGAGCCGCCTGTAGTGCAGCCATCATGTTCCCTGTACCAGATGGTTAAGGATCAAACACTGAGTATTTGGAAGGCAACAAAACCAGCCCCAGGACAGCGATAATTGTAGCTGGCTCGTGCATGGCTGAAAATACTGGGGTTCAGTGGATGCAGCGATTCTCTCAACAGATAGCACGAATTAGTGTAATTGTGACATCGTTCTCCATCACTTCTGCAATCGATAACCCTCGAGACCAGGCCTCAGCTCGGCACATCCACTCCAACAGCCCCCGCAGCAGTGCCTGGGAAAAGAGCTACTCCGGGGTAGCCGGAGGTGGAACCGGACACACGGAGCTCTCTCTCCGCCGCAGGAAACCCCCCTCCTCCATTCCCTCTGTTCCCCCATCAGACACCTCCCCGACACCGCAGCCCCAGGACACCGCCGTCTCCGCCGTGAAGGAGGAAGCGGAGCCGCCTTCCTCCTACCAGCCCCGGGTGCCCATCTCCCTCCCTCGGCGGGACAGCCGGGCACGAAGTTCCTGTAAAAGGCAGCCCCGGCGGCCGCCGCTCCCGCCCCGCACCCCGGCGCCGCGCCCGCTCCTGACGGGAACGCTTCCCGCACGCCGGCGGAAGGATATTGCCGCAGGCACGAGTCCACCTCGCCCTCGTCGGGTCCCGCTTGCCCGTCGCCTCCCTCCTCCTCATCCACGAACTTGTTCTCGTCGTACTCGTCCACATCCACCCGGCGGAACCGCGCCGACGACACCGTGTGCTTCGCCATGGCAAACCCACCCGTCGCCGCCACGCGCACGCGCAAGACGCGCCCGTACCCGCGCGCACGCGAGAGCCGGGGGCGAGCCCTGCGCAGGCGCTCTGGGAAGAAGCTGGTGACGGGGGGAGGCTGCGTGTTTCCCGTGGGGAGCGACATGTTCTCGACTGTAGTTGCCCCATTCTTTACGACCTGTGGTATAGTAAGAAATATATTGAATCACAAAGTGGAAACAGCGCTCAAAAGGATAGGGACATTTTTTGCTGCTGCAAGTTACGCTCGGGCTGTGTAGACCTGTGCCATCTACATTATCCTGTTAGATATTTCTTACTATTAGAAATTTACACAGCTTTGTGAGGCTCCTCTAGGGCAGCACCCCTAGGGAAAAAGTACACACACAAACGCACGCATGCCATTGTGTCCGTAATTCCTCCCGTTATAAAGGAAGCAGCTGGTAGGAAAACTGTATCCATGTATCAGCCTTACCTGCAGAACTGCCAGGAATTCCGGATATGTCGTGTTCCACCAAAGCCACCGCAGCAGGGAAACCAAAGTCTGCTGTAGCCGTAGCGGTTGCCTGTGGGCTGCTTACATTTTTCTGGTAGAAACTGGCTTAAGGGCAACAAATAAATTAATAGCAGGAGGTAATCAGAAGATACACAGGTTTTGGTTTTACTGCTATGGGTTTATGTTTGAAAGATACAGGACTAAAATAAAAGCATATTATCTTCATAATCAATTATTGTGGACCCACAGTTATTCTGTGGGCTAACTTTTGTAGGAGGTGACTTTATTCATGAAGGTCTTTTGCCATCTATGATCTCAGTTTTGCAGTCTAAAAGTGGTTGAATTTGTATTGTCTTTAGGTGTCTGCTGCTTGGAAACATTTCAAAATTAGGAGTTTAATTGATTTACTCCTTTGGCATTTTTAAATGCCTTATGATATTTTTAGGTGTGGAGTATAGATGTTCCCTCTGAAAGGGCAGAAACATTCCTGGGAAGAGCACTGAGTGGCTTTGAGACATGGGAGGTAGGAGACTGCCTTTCAGCATTTGAAAAGGCTGTTGAGAGGCTGGGCTAGGAGAAGAAAAGGCCTTTAATTTCTGCAGCACAGGAGGCTTTCCCTGAATTTCTTGTGGAAAGGCTTTGCTAAAGTATGGTTTCATTCCTGTCAAATTGTTAATTTGGTGTGAATTTTGTCTATCTGCTAAGGTTCTTGATGGTTGAGTTGAATGATGAAGTGTTGACCCTGGGATGCCATACACAAAATTGCAGAGGAGGTAATGCCATGCTCTCCCAGGCAGTCTCTGCAGAGTCACCCGAGGCCACAGGCTGGAGAGGCTCCTCAAAGCTTCACGGTTCCATATGGCAGTGGGGAAACTGTCCTCAGTGTGATAAAGCTGAGAGAAACAGATGCAGAGTGTGACTTCTTGATACTTAAGCAAGAAGTTGTAGATTTTGCTTACACAGCAGTGGTAAGCCTCATTACAAGGAGAGTAATTTGAATAGAGAATGATGCATCTGATATTTTCATAGGCATCTGTAACTGCATCCAGATAACCACCCACCTCAAACAGCATAGATTCTGGATGGTTGTCTTGGTCAGTACAGTTTGTAGCATGGCCTTTTTGGACTACTTTGCCTGAGAAACTCCTCAGTTCATAGAAGAGAAGGTGTTTGTTTTGGGTAGTTGCTGTTGACCTGTATGGGAAGCCAAAGACCCTGTGAAATTCTGCATAAGAGACTCTTGCTTCTTCCCCAGTCCGTATGTGGTAGGGACATCTCCTACAGGTGTGGTTCTGTCTCTGCCAGCAGTAGGGCTTTACCACAGTCCCCTGATTTGTCAGGTATTCCTGGAAAATTGTTTTCTCTCCTGGATTCATGATCTGTTGAAAAATCTGTGTTTATGTGCTGTACAGCTGACAGTCCTGAATGGAAAAGGGAAGTAATATATTAATTCAATTGGCTTTGCACTTAAACAGCAAAATGTACTCTTAGAAAAAAGCACTGCAGTTTGTAGCAGTGTACAGAAACTTGGTCGATGACACAGAGAACAATGCTCTCTTGAAGGGACAAACTTTGCTTCTGCTCCTTACACCAGCAGGAGAAACTGCATAACAAAAAGAGTCATGCTTTTCAGGAATCTATTAGCAGATGAGCCTTATGCAATCTGGCAAAACAAACAAGTAAACACCAGAAAGAAAGAAAAAGGTATAATTACCATCTCAGCAGCTCCAGCTTGGGGTAATAGTAAATATTTACCTGTTTTCCTTCACCAGCTTTTTAGGATTGGTTCAGTTTCCACCTCAGTGATACTGCAGGCTCTCTATGCAAAATTATGTGATGAAGAAGAAAGTTACCTGGTTACCCAGTTTTGGCAGTTCAGCTGTATGAATGAGTGTTCCCAAATGCCATAACTGCTCCAGGTGTAATGGCGGCAGCAGGCAGGCTCCTGTAGGTGTTTACAGGTGCCAACTGCTAGGAGACGAGAACACAAACAGGATCTTCTTTTGTGTGGCCAGCCACCTGTAGTAGTTAACCCTCTGTTCTTTGCCTGTCAGTATTTGTTTCCTGTAAGAACTGATTACGTTTTCATTGTTTCTTTAGCACTTCTTTAGTATAAGATTGTTGTATCTGAAAGATGGATGTTTTTCTAACAGAGATGTTACTGAATTTGTTTCCAGGTGATTGTTATTTCTGTGTGTATTTGTCTGTTGTGCCAGCTGGGCAGAAAGCACCTGTTGTGCTTATGCTCTTGTACGAAGGCAAAAAGGTTGTCGCTTCTCTAAGAAGTGTGTGTGTGTCCCTCACTGAAGCTGTAATTCAAGCAAGCAGTGAGCTATTTAAGGAGCTAAATCATGCCTGCTTTGCTTGGACAGGGTTCCAGATGAGTGGAAACACAAGTTTTGTGTAGATGAGCAACTTTTGATAATTACTTTTCTTCACTGCAGCTCTAATTGAGCCCCTCATCATCCCTGGATGTGGTTTAATTCTGTTACTATTTCTGACTATGTACAACTTTTCCATCTGCATACTTTATTACAACTTGCTTCTGCATTCTGTGTTGTTTTGCCCTCTGACTGTCAGTATTCCATTTTCTTCTTAAATTACTAATTTGATTCATTTGCTTTGTTTTCTCCCTCTGACTCTATGCCAGCTTCCTTGTATTTTTCCTGTGTTGGAGCTCTTTCCTGATCCTGGCCATTGTGCTGTTCTCATTCAGATTACTTCTAAAGATTGGCTTCCTGACATCAAGAATGCTCCATTTAGCATTTTTTATTTTTCTATACATTTTTGCTATTCAGTTGTACTCTATACCGTGCATTGCAACAAAATTGTGGCAGCTGTTTTTCTTAGAAAATGAAAAATACATTTGCTACCTGACATAAAAAAGAGCAGGCCTGAAGAAGGGAGTGCATTTCCTTGTAGAGGGGTGCTAAGAGACAATTATCACCACCTCACCAGTTCTCCTGTAGGTTGCCAATGTTATTAAATACAATTTTAAGAGTTCCAATTAGTGTTGGTGTTTTTGCAGCTCTGGAATGGCCGCATGATGGCAATGTTCTACGCCAGAGATGTATCCCATTTTATGCGTGTTCATAGAGGCAATGGCTTGAACTCTGTTTCAGTGTGTTTAAAAGTGTTAAAATTTTATTTTTCCTGCTAAAACTTGCCTTTTTGTTAGTTTGTTGGTTTGGCCTGATCAAAACGTAGGAAAACTGTAGTCTTTACAGCCCAGTTTGATGGATTAATTGGAACAGTGTTCCCACAACCTTAGGGCATTTCTGCACGTGTGGCACCAGCCTTTGGGTCCTTTGCCAGCACTGTCCTCATGAGACTGCTGAGGCTTGCAGTGACAAGGGCTGCTGGCTCTGCCTCTGTGGGCTCCAGCCTTCCCACTTGTGTGAATCCTCTGCCAGCTCTGATGAGCAGAAAGGGTCTGGGAGCAGAATCCCAGTGGATCTGTGAATATAAACTGCAGAGGCTTCTCATCTGCCGTGTACGTCAATCCTGTAACTGATCATTTTGGGGGTGCAAAGAGGAAGGATGTTTACAAAGCCGAGCAAAATGGAAGCAAGCCGACCATTCACGATGTTCTCAGAATGGACCCATTTCTGGTTTATGAGAAAGCAGAAAGTTGTTTTTTCTTCCTTTTCTTTGCACACTTTTTTCTAAAGTAAAAAACAAGCTGGAAATGTGTTATGCAAGATGTCTTAAGTTGATGTATGTATGCACATACATATGGACATGTGTGTATGTATACATGTGTATGTATGCATTTATACATATATGTGTGTGTATGTGGATTGATCAGTAAATAGGAACACTCATAATTCAAAATTTTGTTCCCATGCATGATTTTATTTAGTAATATAGAACAGCTTAGTGGCATTTTTCATCTTCAAAGTAGTTTACAAATCAGACCAAGTGGTTAAAATATACATTGGTCTAAATGGCTCTCTTGCTGGTATTTCTGCTGCTTAGTGTCAATTAGATCCTATGCAGGGGAAATTGCTAAAGGAGCTTCTGACTTTCAAAGTGCCTAATTTGTCACAGTGATCCTGCTGTATCTGCAGACACCGTAAATGATGTGGACTTTAGTTAAAGTTGACAGTTTATGTAAGTTGGAAATTTGGAATTCAGATGCTTTGAGGTTGGGAAATAAAAAATAAAAGTACTCAAAATGGCTTCGTCCTTTTGGTAATTTTCATCTTGATTTGAGGTTTTGCAATCCTGACTGGGAGGGAGGCAGGACTTTACCTAGTTGGGTACCTAGTCTGGTTCTGCAGCTCTTTGTAAGATGGGTCTCCTAATGCTTGTCTCCAGTATGTCCTGTTGGCACTAAATGGTTTAAAATGCTTTGAGATCTTCAGGATATGTGGTGGACTGAGGTGTTTTGTAGAGCTTATTCTATCTCATTCTCTTTATCCTTCAAATGCAACACACAAATCAAAATAGTTAATGCCCTGGTACAAAAGCCAGAAATCCAAACTGTTCTTTTGCTTTGTCTGGCTGTCCCATGGTTTTGAGCAGAAAGCTTGCCCAAATCTCCTCTAAGATTAATACTTTTCAACACAATGCTCTTCATGAGCTCATAGACTGTTCTACATCCTCAGAAAGGCTTGATTTTAAATATATTTTATGAACCCAAGGATAGGCCTTTTAACACTTGAAGTTGTTAGGAAAAGTAACATCTCCATCTATCAATTTCATTGCATGAAAACTTCATCTTTATATTAGATCATGTCTAATGGATATGATTAGGAACTCAAAATGCATCTTAAAGGATTCATATCTTCCCCAATTATGTTTGAAATTTTGATTATATCCCTGTCCCTCACAACTATATTTGGAGGGGTCAGGGATATAATTATAACTTCCAGAAATTGTTTCACTTATTAATAAACTGCAGCTATCTTTGGGGCAGAAGGCAGTAGCTGTTTAATAGTGCTCCACAACAAGGTATAAACGTTCACAGGAGGAACTGGAGAGGAATTCTTTATCCAGTTAAAACCACAAGGGAAACTTATGAGGTCAGTATGTAATTACTCAGGTTGGAAGTCAGCCAGGATACAAGCCACATGTTCTGCTCCTAGGGAAAAAAAGCATAATGATCAGGGCTGTGATTTTTATTTATTTTTTTTTTTTAATCCAAATATTAGCTAAAACCTGGTATCATTTCAGGCTAAAAAGCACACAAATTCTGTGCCATCCATGTGAGCAGCTTGGGCCTGATACTGGTTTTGAACTTGGGATACTGTCATTTATGAAGATGTCTTTTGGAAGCAAAGTTGCATGCACTGATTAGGCAGAAGCTGGGTTTTTTCCTGATGTGATTATGTGGAAGTATGATGATGGGGTTTTTTATTCCCCAAGCTAAAATATTATCTAATTCCATAGGCCAGTACAAGTGTAGTTCTGTTTATGTGAGGGGATCTGGTGCTTCCCCTCAAAGCGCTGCACTCAGTACAAGAATGGTTTCTTTTTGCTGCTGAAATATGAGTGTTGAAATTCTGTTGCATTTCTTAGTACAGCTTGGTTCAAAATAATCTCTGTTGGAAAGCATTTTACACATGATTTCATTCAATAAGAAGTTTATCTGAGTTCAAAGTACAGAGGAGTCACATGGTCCTTCAAACAGCCAGAGACTTTATGTTCCTGTGCAGTCCTAAGCACAATAAAAAGCAAAGGATGTGAAGGAAGAAGCAGAATGCTACCCATAACTGCTCAAAACCATATTCATATGGACAATTTAAACTTGAGCTATTGTGGCATACTTGCCTCCACACTCAACAATCTCAAGTTCACTTAACACGTGAGATTGGGATATCTAGTATTGCAGGAACGTTGGCTCACAGCTCCAGAGTGGAGCCCTTGTATTTTGCATTGTGCCACTGTGCTGTAAAGATCAGCAGGGATTTAGGTCCCAGGTTTGAAACATTTCCTGCGCAAGCTCATGTAAAAGTCAGACATTCACAAAACTCTTCCACCAAACCCTTCTCACCTGTCTTGTCCAGCCTCAAAGTGATTTAAATTATCACCTCGCTTCCAGAGATTTTCCAAGCCTCCACTTCTTTTTGTTTGTTTCCCTTTTTGTATCTTTAAATCTAAAAAGAAGTGATTTTCCATTGTCTCTCTATTCAAAGTAGAATTTAAAAACATGAAGTTTGGCTACTTCTGAAATCTTCCATCCACTGATAAATTTATGATGCCTCCGATAAAAAACAGCATAATGAAAAGCAGCTTGCCTTCCACTTCTGTTAGCACGCAGATCAGCTAATGGTGATCAGGAAAACTAAATCCTTGATGGGCATGCAGAGCATTCTGCTGTACCGAAAGTGTCAGTAATCTTGGAGGACTCGTGAAGCTATGCCTGATGGGCAGCAAGCCAAGCAGGTATCGGACAAACTACACTGACAAATTTTGCTTAGTGGGGGCATTTTCTTCTGTCTCTGTCTGCTGATTTTTTCCAGAGGTTAGTAGGAACCCACCAGGTTGGTGACCTCTGTTCATTTCTCAGCTGAGTTTGATGGGTTCAGGTGAGTCGATGGGTTCATGTGAGTCAATGAGTTCAGAAATCACACAGGATGGAGCAGAAAGACAGCAGGATTGCATATGCTTTGTTGCTTTAGGATTGTAGGCTATTAACTATACAGAAGCAGCAAAAACAGATAAGAGAAAGTCCTATTTTATGCCAGTTGAGTCAGGAGGTCTCAGCATGAATTGCCTCAAATTCTTAAGAAAGCTAAGAATAGAAAAATAATGGAAACTTCACTGATTCTTGTTGACGGTGGTATTGATTTGTTTGGTACTGTAGCATTACGTAGATACCAGTATCTATTAGCATAGATAACAGATACATAGATACATAGGTAGCATATCTATTACATAGATAGTAGTAGCCTGGAGAACATAAAGAAGGACTACAGAGCCCTGTGAGAGGTGGCTAGGGGCTCTGGAGCTCAGATTGTCTTTTCATCAATTCTCCAGGATACAGGGGAGGACCCCAGAAAAGCCAGGAGGATTGGCCAGGTTAATAAATGGTTAGAAGGGTGCTGCCATAGTCAGGGGTTTGGGTGTCTTAAACACAGGACCCAAGTTAGTAGGCCAGGTGTACTGGGGGCTGGTGGAGCTGGTCTGACAAAAGGGGAAGAGCAGTTTTGGTAGGAGGCTTGCCAGACTGGTCAAGGATGCTTTAAACTAGATGTGTTGGGGGAGGGGGGCATCATTCCATCCCAACACACCCAGTCAGTTGCCAGCACCTATAATAAATGCTCAGAGCAATATAGAGATATTCCAGCCACTCCAGCCAATGAGCTGGCTTCATTTGGAGCATGGCTCAGATGCCTCTATACAAATGCCGGTAGCATGGGGAACAAACAAGTTGTGTGCATGTCTACGGGGGTATGATAATAATAGGCATCACAGAAACATGGTTTGATGGCTCCTATGGCTGGAGTGTTGGAATAGAAGGTTACAGACTCTTTAGAAAAGACAGGCCTGGCAGATGGGGAGGGGGAGTTACTATTTATGTTAGGGATAGGCTGGAGAGTATAGAACTCTGTCTGGGATCAGGTGAGCAGTCAACAGAGTTTGTGGGTCAGGGTTAAAGGGAGAACACCTATGGGGGACATTACTATGGGGATCTGTTACAGACCGCCTGACCAAGAGGAATCTGTGGATGAAGCACTCTATAGAGAGATGGGAACAACCTCACGCTTGCAGGCCCTTGTTCTCATGGGAGACTTCAACTACACTGATACCTGTTGGAGCGATGGGACGGCCTCATGGGGGATTTCAACAATGCTGATATCTGTTGGAGGGACAGTACGGCCCAGCACAGGCAATCCAGGAGGTTCCTCGATTGTGTGGAAGACAACTTCCTCCTGCAAGTAATAGAGGAGCTGACAAGGAGAGGTGCCATGCTTGACCTTGTGCTCACCAACAGGGAAGGGCTCACTGAAAACGTGATGCCCCAGGGCAGCCTTGATTGGAGTGATCACAAGA